ACCTCTAATGAACACTAATTCGATTCCATTAACATCAACTTTCACTAACCTGTCGATGGAGTAACCAACTTCCGGCCTTTTTTTCTTAAAAATTTTTTAGATTTAAGAGGGGTTTAGTTGGTTGCCGAGAAAAAATAAGAAGAAAAATATGTTAATTACTGGTTGTTTGCTTTAATAGTTATAGAGTCATCTGATTGACTTTTAATGTTAAAATTGTGGGTTTAGGTTTGAACGGAGCAGGTGAGGAGAGACTTTGAAGATGAAGGATTGAAAGCAAGAAAGGGTCCCCTTGGCTCCGTAATCCTTTGAACGAGCTGTGTTTTGCGACGTGAACGTTTGATCGTACATTATCTTAGGTATTTTGGTTGCCAAGGAAATCATGGAAAAGGAGATGCAGATGAAGTTGAGGAGGAAGAAGAGGAAAAAATGGGAAATTTTGAGTTTAGTCCCTAAGGAAATTAAGGTTCAAGCAAAACGACGTCATTTTGGGTCTTTTGAACACTAAAATAAAAACATCAAAACGACGTCATTTAAATGTGGCATCCATGTCAACGACGTCACGGCATATCGTTGCCATGTAATTGTCTCGTTAAACCATTAATGGTGGAGTGTCATAATTGCACTTAAACGTAAACGTTAGTATTAAAATTGACAAAATTAAAACGTTGGTAGTATAAACGAGTCAACGCTTAAAGGTTGGTGGTATTTGAAGTCGTTAACCCTAAAGTTAAATAATAAGCATTTTTGGATTCAAATTTTATTTGATTTTTTTTTTCAAATTAGGTTGAGTTGAATGTTTTAGTTTTTGTTTAAATTTAATTGTAGATATTTAGAATGATATGATGTGGATTAGTTTAATTTAATAACTTTATCTGATCATATAAGATATATATTTTTTATATTAAAATAATATTTAATAAATCAAATATCATATATCAAAATATCAAATCATATAAAATTGTAGAAAATATTTATAATTTTATTTTTTAAAATAATATATTTTAGGGAAAAGGAATGGTCGGAAGAGATAATTTGAAATTTATAATAAAAATAAATTAAATAAAATAAAAAATTAATGGATTAGATTTGTTGTTGAAAATAGGGATTGAAGTTGCATAGATATTCGTCAATGTCAAAAGAGCATGTGATTCAAAATATATCAAAAATTGAACTTAAAACAATGGAAGAACAAGGGCTAGAAGGAATTAGATGCAAATATTAAAATCAATCGAGTTAAATAATTTCAAGTTAGTTGAGTTGATGTATGTGCGAACTTACCTTAGTGGTTAAAGAAATTGTTATTATTCATAGAGGCTACAGGTTTAAGCACCAGCGGTTGCAGTATGGTGATTGAACATTCATTTTCGAATGGTTAAGAGTATTTAAAATAGATATTACTTTGTAATCACATTAGATTAATAAAAAAAAGTTAGTTGAGTTGACGAGTCATATTTTATCATTTAAAGCTTATTTAAATTTTTTCTATTAAATTAAATCGAATCAATGTTTTTAATTAAATCAAATTTTGCTCACTCTAAACTTAATACATGAATTAACAAAAATATAATTTTATTTTATAATTTTTAGTCACTCACATGATTTAGTTTGAACAAAAAGAATAAATATATTTTATCTATATTAGAGTAAAAATATTTAATGTAAATTTTTATTAATCTTTCTAATTTTAAGATTAAAATTATATAATATTCCATTATATTATAATAATAGTTAATTACATCATATGTCTCCAAATTATAATTTTTATTTTAAATTAGTACTTAAACTTTTGAAATATTACAATTTCATCAAATTATGACTCTCATTCTAAATTAGTCCTTAAACCTTTAAATATTATAATTTCATCCATAAACTATGACCCTCTTTCTAAATTAGTCCCAAACGGTTATAATATTTCAATTTAATCCCAATCTCATCCAAATATGTTATTAGTTTCAACCATAATTTAATCTGAAATTTGTTTTATTCAAACATATAATAATATAACTTAGCTTAATGATTTTATTAGCAATGGATGTGATTAGTATATAAGTATAGTTTGAGATTAAATTAGAATGTTTAAAATGTTTGAGGACCAATTTAGAATAAAGGTCATAGCTTGGGATGAAATTAAAATGTTCAAAGTTGAAGGAGTAATTTTAAATGATAATCATAACTTAGGGGTGAAATTGAAGATTTAAAAGTTTAAAGACCAAAATACAATAATAGTCATATTTTAAGGATGTACGATGCAATTAACTCTTATAATAAATTATTTTTTCAACTTATATAATAATTAAATATTTTCTTATATAGTATTTATATTTCAATTAGTTAAGTTATAAGTTACACTTATGAAATGTAATTAGTAGTTTCTTGTGTCCTAAGTCATGATGGATAAGATGTTGAATAGACTTGTTGGTTGATAAAATGTCTCATTGCCCACGTGATTACCATGTGCATTTGTCTTTTCTTTCGCTTTCATTATAAGCGCTACATAAATTGTCTCCATCATAAGGGAGACACTTGGACTTAAGTTAAACAAAGAGAATATATATATATATATATATATATATATATATAATATTCAATTAACAATTATTTAATTATCTATAAATCATATAAAAAGTGGAAAATATGTCTATCAGTTTATTTGAGAAAAAATAGAACAGTGAAAACATAAAAAGTTTTTGGATAAAGAACACAAATGGTCCCTCGACTATAGGGTATTATTTTATTAAGTCTCTCAATTATTAAAAGTTACAAAATGATCCTTTGACTATAGAGTGTTGTTTTGTTGAGTCCCTCGACTATTAAAAGTTATAAAATGGTCACCCAACTATTCATTATGTTCAAAACTTGTCCTTTTTCGCTAAAAAATAGATGATATTCTAAGCTGAACGTTAACTTGTTGAATGTGATATGATAAAATTTTATATCAAAATCTCAAACGACTATCATATCTCAATCATCATGTTAATATCTAACTTAAACAATCGCTAATTTTTTAACAAAAAAAGATGAGTCGGGAACATAATGAATAGTCGGGATACCATTTTATAACTTTTAATGGTCGAGAGACTCAACAAAGCAATACTCTATAGTTGAACGACCATTTTATAACTTTTAATAATCGAAAGACTTAATAAAGCAGTACCCTATAATCGAGGAACCATTTGCGTTATTTACCCAAAGTTTTCTTTAACTTTTAAAAAAGTGGAGTAAAAAAACTAACAAAGATATCCTTAGAGTTTTTGGGTTTGAATATTAGCGACTGTATTGTATTTGAGCGTTCATTATCAAATAGATACAAGTTTTTAAAACAGATGCTACTACTTATAATCATCCTAGATTAATCCACAAAAAGTGAATTAATAAGTAAAGAAATAAATTCTTTTTAGAAAAATTAATAATATATATTATTAATATTGTTTGATTTTATCTATTTTTTTCTTTTTGGATAGCGATATTATTAATAATCTATAAACATAGGTATTTATATCATGGGAATGTAAAATTAATAAATTTTTATAATAAATTTTATAACTATTAATTGCCTGTCTAGGCTCACATCTATTCGAAAAAATAACAAATATTTTTTATTAACGAAAATATAATACATTTTGCTTCTTTTTTTCACCGTCGAAATATAATAAATTTTTGAGTAAGTATATACATATCTCGCGACAAAGACAAGGGATGGTCAAATAAGAAGATCGATCAATAAAATAAGGATGAAATGATGAATTCCTGTGTCTCGAACAAAAAATATGAGACCAAAGAAAAATAAAATTTGTTATTTTACTGTGAATTAGAAAATATTTATTTATAAATTATAGATTTTAATTAAATTCAAATCAATGTTTTTGGTCTGAGTCTATTTATATTCATCGAATACATTTTCAGTGGAATAAACAAAACAACAAATACAATATTTTTCTTCAAAAGTTATTTTTGAAAGTTTTGTCTTTCAAAAATTTAATTAAAATATAATTTTTCTGTATTAATGTTGAATCCAGTCACGTTAATCTTCTGCTTAACTCACATGCTAACTCACAGAAGCAGGTCTTCGGCTTAACTTGAGAAGGACAAAAATCTTCTGTATTAATGTTGAATCCAGTCACATTAATGATTGGGCACAGGCTATTCGTTTAGTGTAATGAACATTTTATAATTTTAAAAAAAAATCAGTTAATTTTCATCATTATCTCTTCTAATTTTAAAATTAGATAATTTGAACTTTAATTCTTATCTTTTAGTTGAAATGTATCTTTGATATCAATTAATTTTGAAGCTAAAATTTTATCCTAGTTTCATCATTGTCTACCACTTATATATTAATAAGTTCCTTAATGATGTAAAATTTAATTTTCAATAATAAAATAATTTCTAAACTAAACCCTTAAAATAGATAATTTAAGACTTAAGCTAACCACATTCACACCACATGATAAAAGAAATTCCTTACCCACCTTTGTTTTATTTCTAAAGTATAATCCAAGTCTTTGTGAACTGTCGTTTTATCTCTCACTCTCACTCTAATATTACAATGACAAGACACCCATCACACGTTGTCTTATTCATTTATAATTTGGCATTTGGCATCTCTTTGGAATTTGTAAATATCTTGGTTGAGAAATCCATGTTTATCAACAATGATTCATTAGAATTTGGATATTATTAAGTTCGACTCACTAGAAAAAGTTTAAAATTAAATTCGATTCAAATTTTAAAATTTACGAGTTTAAAATTATTAAATTCTCGAATTCAGAATAAAAAAATAAAATTTAACTCAAGCTCAAAAGAAATAATGTTTTATAATTAAGTATCATTTAATAGTGAAGTAACTAAACAAAACAATATCTATAATAAAGGAACCATTTGTGCATTAAAAAATTCCAACTATTTTCTACTAGAAAGCAGTGAACCCCAAAATTTTTCCTCATAATCCCATAATTATGTCTTCAATTCCTTTCGCTTTTAGCTTTAGATGTGATGATGATCTTATCGAAGAAATATTTCTAAGCTTTTAACTGGTTTACATGGAATCTTTATGGTTTTGGTAAGCCATAACTTCTTGTTTCTTTGCATACTCACCCTTTGTTGTACTGGCAAAGCCTTTCCCTTTTCCTCTAATCACCCAAAGAAGATGCCTTTTAATGGGGTCTTTATCTTTGTTGGAAGTCCCTGACAGACACATAACCCTAACTCTAAAGACCTTTATCTCTCTCTTTGGTTAAAAGCTGATGAACTAGATCCCAATCAAATATAGAACTCATTGAATAGGTTCGATGGTAAAAGAAAATGTTATTATTCCTAATTTTTACTATCGTTCGCACCGGCATCTCCTCGATACACAACCGAGCGGCGGCAACGGGACACGCCCTGGTTTTACCAATGAAGTCAATTTCGACACCAACATGGTGATCATCCTAGCAGCTTTGCTTTGCGCATTGATGTGTGCTCTAGGACTAAATTCCATCATGCGTTGTGCGTTGCGTTGTGGCAGACGGTTCGGTTTCGATGCCTCCGATGGGACCGCTACTGAGCGTCTACCCGCATCGACAGGCCTTAAGAAGAGCGCGTTGCGACAGATTCCGGTGGTTGTATATAGTCCGGGGATGAATTTGAAGGCTACGGATTGTCCGATTTGCCTTGGAGAATTCATGGATGGGGAAAAAGTTAGGGTGTTGCCAAAATGTAACCATGGTTTTCATGTGAGGTGTATAGATACATGGTTGAAGTCAAGCTCGTCGTGCCCGACTTGCAGGCGGCCATTGTTGGATCGGACGACTAGCACTGATGCTACGGTGGTGACCGGAGACAGGTTACGGCAACAGGGGAATTCATCAGGTGGACAACAAGCTGTTGTTGCAGTTGTTGCAGATGAGGTTGATTGAGCCTGATCTTAAGGTTTCTTCGCCAGATGACCAAAGGTCATTAGGGGATATTAAGAGTAGCTTTTTTAAATTTTTTTCTTAGTTTTCTTTGTGTATATGCATAGGACAATTATTAAGAATTTAAATTGTGATTACTATCATGCTTTCGGTTGTGTTACGTTTATTGCGATTGCGACAATAAATTGTGATTACGATAAGTTTTCGGCTGTGTTACCGTTATATAAAAATCACTATTCCGACGACAGACCGCTATTTAAATCTATGATAATTTGAGCTTCCTTCGTTGAAAAGCGTATAGCAAGCAAGCCCTTGTTATCTATAATGGTACTTAGCTGCCATATGACATTCCTTTAGGAGGTTGGTCACCTGCCGTCGGCGGTTCTCGCCCATCTTAAGGAGGGACCTAGGGCATTGGAGATGTCATAGGATGATACGTACAAGTGATGTCCACCTATGTTATTCAGATTTTACAACAAAATCAAGAGACTTAAATTACAATTAGACCTCCTTAAACACTTCAAAGATCACAATAAAAATTAGAGTTGTAACAAAAATTGTGTTTGTGATAGTTGTTGGTTGTTCAATTTTTTTATTTAGATAGAGAATTATAGTAAATATTTTAAGAAGTTAAAAAAGTGATATTCGGTGTAAAGAGCAAGATATAAGGAGAGAAAAAAGAATTCTTGATTCTTTCTTCAGTTATGTATGGTTGCTTATATGATGACTCTTAATGTTGGTGTCAGACCTAGAAGCATGATGGTTATTTGTAGGTTGACATAACTTGTAGATATTGTTATTAGATAGTATATTTGACTTTAACAAATTACGTAAGTCAATCAATAGTTATATCAAAAGATTGTAGCTGCTCAGAGAATATAAAATTCTGGTGACTTTAACCATTCGGAGGATATAAAATTTCAAATATTTCTTAAAACTCCATACGTCTCAATAGAAAAAAAAAACCAATGGTAAAGATACTATTTATAGAGAAGGTTTGAAGGATGTACAAAAAGAAAAATCATATTACTTCAAAACTCAACTTATTGTCAACCTCTGGTTCCATGTGTAAATTTTCATTGTCAATCTCATAAAAAAATCTATTGATCAACTCACATGATTAACTTCACTCGACTCGGTATTTTCAAGTATAAAAGAAAATCCTGTTTGTATAGATGATGAAATTGGACCAGGGGCCCTCTGCCTTTTATCTCTTTAGAATTTTCCTTGATTCCAAGGATTGCAGCAAAGAATTGGGTTGAGCATTTGTGGAAGCTTGGCATTGGCCTTTATTATCCCATATTTATGCCCACCGACACAGTTACCATCATCTGTTGCAAGCCTGACAACTCCATACAAAGGACAAAAGGGCTCTACTTCCAGTACAAAAATGGCCATGGAACACCAGATTTGTACATATTTTCTGTTTCTTTCATCCAGTTCTGGGATCCAACTCATTCATAATTTTATTGCTATGGAAGCACCACAAATAGCCAACCTTTTAAGAAGCCTATCAACTCAAGTCTATTGTTTATTTGTGTAGATAGATTTATTATTACTTTTATAGGTTGATAGTATTGAATCTAATAAATATGTAGTAATAACTTTTACTTATTTTATATAATAATTTATTTTAAATATTTTATTAATCAACAATATTGGTATAAATTATTGTTTTTGAACAGTGGGTAATTAATATTTAAACACAAAATATTTATAATGTTATTATTGGCTATAGTTTAAGAGATATGTAGCTATTGCTTTTTTTTTAAAAAAAAAAAAAAGAGATATGTAGCTATTTTTTATATAGTCTGGATAATTATAAGGTAATATATATGTTTAGAAAAATTTTAACTAATTGATAGTGAACACACTCTGCAGACGTAACTGCGCGAACCTAAATCTCTAGAAAGAAAAACATTTTCTTTTATCACTAAAGTCATTTGATGAATTCATATGTAGGGATGGCAACGGGTCGGGCTCGGGCCGGATATTGGTCCCCCCGTCCCCATTTAAAAAACCTATACCCGTCCCCGCTTAAAAAACTGCAGGGATTTAAACGGGGATCCCCATCGGGTAATCGGGGAAAACCGCGGGGAAACGAGTATCTCCGTTTAGCATAAACGGTTATTTAAACGGGTATCGGGCCGGGTATATATATTTAAATTAAATATATAAATATTATATATATTTTTAATTTAATTTAAATTTATTAATATTATATATATATATATATATATATATATATAATAATTATTTTTAATATTTATCGGGTTGGGTAATCGGAGTGGGGATTACTAAACCCGTCCCCGTTTAACATAAACGATTTTTCTCCGTCCCCGTTTAATTCGATTTTTCCCGTCGAGTTCGGGTTTTTTTTCCATCCCTATTCATATGTAACTGTTTTTAAATAATTTAATTTGATATAGTTTTAATCCAGCCTGAATTAAATGCTTTATCAGTTTTTCTATATGAATGAACTTAGACTACTGCAGTCGATTAAATAAAATAATTAGTTTTAATTTGTAAAGCAAAGCAGCTCGCTGGAATAGCTCAGTTGGTTAGAGCGTGTGGCTGTTAACCACAAGGTCGGAGGTTCAAGCCCTCCTTCTAGCGTTTTATTCTGCTTTTTCTTTGATTTCACTCTGCTATCCGGTCCAAAACTCTATAACCCTAAGCCTAATATGTTTTATGAGATTATTCAAGTAAATAGTATATATATAATAATTTAAAGACAATTTTAATTTTTTAATAAATATTGGGCCAAACCTACTGGACTTGGGGACCAATATAGCCCTTAATTTCTTCTCTATTCTATAGTGAGAACGATGTCGTTTCGGAAGATTTGAATTTTGACCTGCTTAGTGCTTATCCTAGGACGATGCCGTTTTAGAGTATAAAAAATAGTTGAAATGACCGGATACCATAATTTTTCGTACTACCCGCTGTTTTCCAGGTACTCGCCATCATCGCCGCCGTCACCGTCAGCGGCTTCGGCCATCGTAATTTACTACTGAGGGTGCGGCCTAGGTCTCTCCATTATTATATCTTTAGGATTACTAATGCATTTTACACTTTTCTTTGGGCTCATTTCCAATGTGGATTCATACGAATACTGATTTTCTAAGTGGGTTTTGAATCTTGTTTTATTTGATCTTCATGATCTTGCTTGAACTTACTTTCCATAAATAGCATGAAGAAGCTTTGCTGAGCATTTTTTTGTTAAACTGAGTTTGAGTTGTTTCATGAAGGATTGTAAGAAGCTTTGCTGAGCATTTGTTGTTAAACTGAGTTTGAGTTGTTTCATGAAGGATTGTTCTCTTTTTGCTAAACAACACTGTTCTGTAATGGAGGGGATGCCATATGCTTCCTTTACGAGCTTTGCAACAAAATCGTTGTCATTTTCCTCTCTGTCACCATCTTCAATTATAACCCCCTGCCAAAAGAGACAGAAAAATATTCTAAAATCAGTATCTCCTCGAAAGCTTGTTATCCGTGCTTCATCTGCTTCTAGTTCTGTTACTTTTATCGCAAATCTGATTGGGTTAGCTGAAGATGAAAAATATAGTGAATTTATTTTATTATGTTTTTAAAATAATTTTGGTTCCTTTTAGGTTCAGTTGTAACATTGCTTGATTGTGGAGCTGGAAATGTTCGGAGCTTAAGGAATGCGATTCACTACCTTGGGTTCGAGATAGAGGATGTAAGCAATTTTATATTTAAGAGTATAATGATAATTTGTATCATTCTAATTGCTTTACATAGAACGATGCATGGTAAGTGATAACGTATTCGTTCTTTTGATTAAAATGTAGGTGCAAACTCCTAAAGACATTTTGAATGCAGAACACCTTATCTTTCCAGGTGTTGGGGAATTTGCTTCGGCCATGGATGTACTGGTCAAAACAGAGTATGGTTTTATACCGACTTTTTCTTAGGAAAATTCAACTAATTTATTTATCAACACTAAATAAATTTTGATTAAAAGTTCTAACAGTAGTATGCGACTTTGTAATTGGCTGAAAATGTTTCCTCAGACAGGCTTTTAACGATAAATAATCATCACTTTTATTTGGCTTTCAAATTCTAACTTAGTTAATTTGTCATTCATTTACCATTTTCTTCAGGATGGACGAAGCACTGCGTACCTATATAAAAAATGACCGCCCATTTCTGGGCATTTGTCTTGGACTTCAACTACTTCTTGAGTATAGCAAATAGAATGGATCAGGTCAATTTTCGAACAACTTCTTCTTGGTAAATCTTTGATAGGCCTATTACATATGTGTGTATGTTATATGATTATGATTTGGTAAAGTTTATATAATTAGAATGTGTCATGAGTAGAGGTGTCCACAACTCTTGACTATACTCCCCACTATATGATACGTTTTATCATGTGGTTTAATGAAAATCTTTCTTTGGTGTTCTAAATTTGTTTCTTATTTTATTTTTTAATATGTATTTGTAGATAGCGTAAAGAAGAGAAAAAGAAGATACCTATAGTCACCATTTTACAAACAGAGAAAATTTATATGTTATTTTATTTTATTTTCCAGTTCTTAACTTTTCAACTTGACTTCATTGTGTTCTTTTGCCTTAGTGAATGGTCTTGGCTTGATACCTGGTGTGGTTGGGCGGTTTAACTCTTCTAATGGTTTTAGAGTGCTGCATATTGGCTGGAATGCTTTGCAAATTGCAAAAGACTCTGAAATTCTGGAGGATGTTGGAGATTAACATGTCTACTTTGTTCACTCTTATCGTGCCATTCCAGTATGCTCTTCCTTGTCAGCCTCTTAATTGATTCTTACTCTTGCTCATAATGTGCATGTTGAAAAAGCTTTAAGCATACCTTGTGTTGTTTGGTAACCTATATAATCATATTTTTGGTAGTCAGATGATAACAAGGAATGGGTTTCATCTACATGCAACTATGGTGATGATTGTATTGCATCTATTAGAAGGGGAAATGTGCATGGAGTTCAGTTCCATCCAGAGAAGAGTGGAGGCAAGATATTTTGTGCCCTTAGTTCTTAGTTTTTATCTTTTGTTCTTGTACGTTTCAGATTTCAAAATACATAAGTTTCTTCCCGTTGGTATGAGAATGATTTCTGACATGCAAATATCAGGTGAACAATTTTTC